GAGCAATTTCATATTCTGCTCGCAATCCTTCCGTTTCGAAGAATGCAATTTCTGAAAGGTATGAGCTATCGATTGCGCCAGCATGCCGCCCCCCAGCACAATAGCACGTCGATGTACATGGAGCCCTCGGGGTTATGGCGCTCGAGCGTGACCCGCCGCCCCGACCTTTAGGGAACCCGGCGGGGAGATGGGAGGAAGGAGGACCTTCCTGTCCCAGCATTGCAGCCAGCTGGTTTCGGGCACCTTCCAGTCTTTATTTGCGTAAACGCTGCTTCTGTCCAGGTCTGATGAATGACCGAATAAGCTCAGGGGTCATGGAGAAATATGGCATGATGTTAACCATCTAGCCATTTGTGGTTATCCGAGTAGCTTCAGAGTAAATTACTACAAAGCAAAGAAAATAAGCGATTTTCAGGACAATTGACAGAATCTCCATTGAGACCCAGAACGCCCTAAATAATAAAATCAGTGTGTGTGTGTGTGTGTGTGTGTGTATATATATTGTAAATAAATAACCTTTGATAGTTCCTCCTGTACACTATACTTCTTCAGACAAATGCATTACCCATTAAAAACTCTTCTATTGTAATCTGTGCATCTTTTGGGCCTTTGTTGCCAGCTGTTGCAAAGTGACAGATTTCACATTTCTGTGCATCCCTCACCTCCTCCACAAGAAACATCTAAAGAGGGAAAAAAAAAAAAAAAAACGAGAGCGCCAGTGTGATCAGAATCGACTTGGGGGGGGGGGGGTGGTTGCTGTTTTAATCACAGCTGTCATTCATATTCCATCTGCAGGCCGGGTCAGCATAAGGCCAGGCCGCGGGGAAATGGAAACCTGCCTTCCATATTCATTACGATTTCAAACCCGCCGCACAAAAAAAGATGGCATGACGACGGCGAGAGGGAATCAGGGGGTGTCTGCCCACAGAGCCGCGCGTGGCACGGACCCCCGGACAGGGACCACATCCCCCTGACGGCACCCTCTTCCCGACACCGGCCCTCACCTTGGTCTCGCTGCCGTCTCTCCTTAAAGCCTCAGAAGGGCAACCGGTCCAACATACAGCCCCATCAATGCCCAGACGGTGCCGCTCAAATGATTCATGTCCACAGAAGGTGTCGCAGCGAGCCGTTCCGGGCCCAGGCATTCCGCTGCCCTGCTCCGTTCCCCTCTCACCGTGCCTGTAATTCCACACCTGCCCTCTTTCGAGAACGCTCCCAAGGCGAGTGACCTTTCTGTACTGCCACATATTATGTCAGCTTACGGGAGCCGCGTCCCCTGGGCCATTTATAGCCCTGCAGCTCTTGTCCCAGCCCACCCGCCTGCATCTGGTTTCGCCGTAGCGGCGTTAGCGCTAGCGATGAATTTCGGGGCTGTAACTGTGACAGCTTAACGATATCCCCCACCCAACACTTCCTTTGAAGTTAATCGATGTCAGGTCCTATTTATTCCTCCTTTGATGCGCTTTGTTTGCCTCACCGCCCCCCCCACCCCCCTACAATCAGTTGCGGCAGCAGAGGTCTAAAATGATGGGGGCAACTAGCACTGAAACAGGCCAACCAGGAGGACCGGTCATTCAGGGGCAACCTGAGCTGCAGGCAGTGTTTCCTGAAATCTACAAGCAGGAATCAAGGCTACACTATTTCAGGATCCTCACTACATCCTTAGATGACTTACTAACACACTGGATGCAAAAGCGGCAATGCCCTGCATTTCACACTGCGCCCAACAGCCTAATCAGATGACACAGAAGCAGGTGCGGGTCCTTCACTTTCACAACCTTCATTCTCATGGTCTCCATTTCCAGCCTTCTGCAAATAAAGACCCACAGACCACAGAGCCTGTGCACAGTCGTAAGCCCCTGAAATAATCATTACAAAAATCAAGAAGGTTGCAATTTTAAATCATCAGAGGAAGCATATTTATGAAATGCCCTTTGCCAAGATTGCAAAGGAAAAGTGTTATATTCGCATGACAAGCACATATTAGGAAACTTTGAAATGCTGTGAATTTTGTCTGCCTATAAGACGACATGATGCTTTCCCAGTTGACATCTTCACACCCACATTCTACTTCTGCACATTTTCCACGCTACCCTGGCCCTGCACTCAAACATGTCTTATCTGTCCACTGCATCCTCACCGCAAGACCAGCGTCTGTGAAGTCGTGGCTGATTTCATGTTGCACCATTTCTGCTGCAAACAACCTGCCATTTGCAAAGGCAAGTAATACATCGAGACTTAAGTGCCTGCTTACAGGAAAACCTACGACAAATGGAAAGACTTTATATTTCGCTTGGCCTTGAAAATGTGCGCATGTTCTCAACAGTCATTATAATTAAAACACAATACCTGATTGTGACTTCAAAACGATTGGCCGACTTTACACTCTCGTGACCTTTTGTTAATCTAGGAGCACACAGCAACACAAACATGGCAGCAATCTTCACATCAATACACAAAGCTGACTTAAAAGAAAAAGTGACAAAGTGTGAAACCATGCGGCAGCTACTTGTCTGTATTGTCCGTTACAGGTGGATTTCCCGTCTTAAAAACGCAAAACATATATGCTATTCCATGACATCATCAACCAAAACTTGAGTCAATGCCTCATCCTTGCAATGTACAAGAGCTGTTACAACGTCCACAAAAAATGCAACAAATTAAACAAATTCAGGAACTTCATCCAAGCAATGACAGCAAGAAGAGCAGATGGCAGGATGCACGGTCCCCAGACCCTGACACACAAACGCTGACCGCCTTGGTTCCTCAAAGTTACATGGCCATTTGTTCAGTTTTTTTCCCTTTTTACCCTTTTCCTCAGTTAGGTCAGCTAACTACAGTAAGAGCCTCGTCATCTGCTATGCCTGGGGAGTTCATCGCTCCAGAATTATCAGGTTTTCTAGACATGTGAGCCTTGGACGTACAAACCGATACTGACTTAGGATTCACCAGAGCACAACGCAAGGGATCCTAACACAGCCTTTGAGCTCCGAGCTGTCAAATAAAACGCGTTTGCGCCAATAAAAGTGGATTATTTTGAGCAGTCACCAATCATTTCTGAGACATGTTATATTTAATGCATAAGACATAGCACGCCTCAGAAAAATGTCTTGGAAAAATAAGTTTCCTCAAAAAAAAAAAAAAAAAAAAATCCATGCATCTTCTATACCGCTTATGCAGTCCCAGTGGACCTGAAGCCAGAAAGTACAGGGCATCCTGAACAGGATCCCAGTCTTCAAACCATTAGATTCCTCACATAAAGACACAGGGTTTGTCACATTTCAGAGCCAAAGTAATTTCCCAAACTTGCAGGTGCGATAAAATATGACCAATCTTTACAGCTACCGATGGCATGTATGTTAAATGGCATATTCAAAAAAAAAAAAAATTGATGTGCACAATTTTGTTGATAATCTTCAGACCATGTACACCAACTCATACTGCAGCTACAGGAACGTAGGTTGCAAATGGCACCCATTAAAAAAAACCCAATCAAATAAGCTGGTCAGAGGCCTATGTTCAATAGAGCACATCGGGCTGATTACCTACAGGGATAGAGCATAATACAACTGTATTGCTTATTAGTCAAGTCACTTACTCCTTAATTACAACCATATGTTAAAGCGAATTAACTTCGCACAATTACAGAGACTTTGCGATAACATATTATATAGGATTTGCGTATTATTATTAAACATGTCAAGTGAGAAAATCATTTGGTCTTGAATACGAGTAACCGCACCAGGAATACAGAAGCAGGAAAAAAACTCACTGCACAACAGCAACAGCTGAGCCCAAATTGCACAAAAATTACAACACGCTCAAAATATTAATCAGCTATATAGGCTTAATGAAATTTCATCATAAACCTTTCAACAGCATACAGCTCAATATTAAACTCATCAGTTTTTGCATAATCTGCATATTAAATGCTAGCACAAAGTAGCGGCCGCAGTCAAACTCATTCCAGTTATACCCAAAACCATTACATTTGAAAGCCGGTGATGTAAACCAACCATGACAGAGCAGAGAGTTTAACAAAAAAAACAGCAGACTACTGCTCTTGCTACTGAAGGGATGCCCCACAGCAGTTGCAGAGAAAGCTAAAACCATGACTCTGGGCTGTGATACCTTAAAAAAAAAGCATAGTGGCGCAAATGGATTTTGATCCTGCCGGACCTGACATTCCGATGTTTCACTGGGAATGCTAGCACGCAGTTTAAGGGGCTATAACGCTGCTGGGGAAAGCACTGTAACAGAGATTCCCATTTATAGGACAGTGCAACGTGACAAAGGGTTTTTCTTTCTGGGACTGCCGCAAAAAGCCATGGGCACGAGTTGCAATTTGTTGTAGACCAAGGCATCATTTTTTGAAGTATAGTTATAAACCCATAGTAACTGGTTACTATTGAAGTTTGAAAATGTTACAATGATTCAATTCTCTCTATGCAGAAATACTCGCCGAGGCACTGCATATGACAGCCAAAAAGGGCAGCAAGGGTCACAGAAATAAATGTTACACCTAAGTGTGTTTCATAGTAACTACTATAATATGCAGACATCCATTTTTCTTTAATCACCTTTACATTCTGGTAGTAATTTACAGGTATGTATTGGAGATTGATAAGCTAGTTCTGAGTCAGCACAAATGGGCACTTATCCAGCACAACACTTTTAATAAATGACGAACAGGTACAACAAAATCCAACATTAACACAAAAGCCACGACGAATGAAACTGGGCAGAGAACATGACAGCAGCTAATCAGTGCTTTCTCGTGGCTGAATCATTCTTCCCCACTGTGAAATTAACTGCTATGGACCCTCAAACAGGAATCCAAAAAGATGTCTGAAGGCAAATTAGCCTCCAAGGCTGAATATAAACTACAACAAAACAATGCAAGAAGGCACCAATGGAGGAGTGAGCTCATATTTTGGTAAAACGTCAGACCTGCGCTCCCCCCCCGCCCAAAACATCCGCGTCTCCATACCTTTCCCTACCTGCCGTGACGCATGACGTCGCCGACCCTAGCGGCGACAACGCCTGGCGAGCGTGGGGTCGGACCTCATCCTGCAATGCAGCATCCCGTAAGCGCTACCCAACGCGCTCCCCGCGGGGCTCCCTTTCTGGCAGCGTGCGCCCCTGCAGCGAGGCACCGCGCATGCGCGACCTGGCAACCTGCGCCTATTTGGCAGGATACCGCAACGGCCGGAAGAGCGCATGCGCCAGCCGCTTCGCCCATTCGCTTCAGAGCAAGGCTCACTATTTGGCAAAGGAGATCCCTTTACTGACGCACAGGTTGCTATTTATCACCAAAATGAAACCGCAGAAAACCCTTACCCTGAAAATAATTTCATACGAGTAAGAATAGACTGTCCCTTCTTCCATAGACCTGACAAGTCACAGACTAACAAGAAAACACCACGCAAAAAGGCAGGGTTCAAATAATGTATGAGTAGTTAGCCTACTGACTAGCTAGCAAGTTAGTTAACAGACGTTCTCTCCAATATTTAATTTAATCATTTTGTTGGCTTGCTGAAGTGTTACCCGCAACAAAAACAACCTTATTCACACAAACTGTACTCCAGTGTATAAAATGAATACTTTTTAATTTGCTACAGCTCCTCAGTGTCTCATTAAACTCTCATCACAATACAAAGCGCTGAATTACCTCAGGCTCAGAAAGAAAAAATGAAAGCAACAAATTGGAGTCGCCTTCATCGTCCCTTTCATGTCGTTGTTGTTTTGCTTTGTTATGATATTTTCTTGAAACTCACCTTTTCAGAATCTGTTCGTCGGCCGGATCGAGTTTTCGCAAAGACGCTTCTTCACATCCGGGTTACCCCAGTGACGCCTGTGCGTGCCGCCCCTAACCCCGCCTCCAAATTACCTGTCAAATGCACCCCCTCCTCCAAAAAAAACATTAAATAAAATCTCTTCAAATTTTTCAAAATATTTCAGTCATACAGATACTTACATACAAACATACAGGAGTGAATAGACGGATCTTTATGGGAATATCTATATTTATGAGTTAATCTAGCTGCTTTTTATATATAATTAAGAGTAACACTGTATTTTGGACGTATAAATCAAGTGTGTGTCGATATCAGTAGTGGAATATAGAGACAAATGAAATCAGCCATCAATTTGTCATACATTCACTCATCGTTCATTTTGACAGTTATCATGTAATGGTTTATCTCATTCATTCTCTTCTTTTTGTTGATTTTAATAACACTATTTAATTAATGTTGCTTTTGTTTGATGTGTGGAGCAAGGCATTTTTATTATGAAACACTGTTAACTAACCTGTTAAATAAACAGTTATTATCCTGGCTTTAAACAACTATTAAGGCTTAGAGTTATTGCAAGGCTTCTGTAAGTATTTCCAATATGTAAGCGTTTTAATTGAATTATAAATAAATAAAGCGCGCCTGGCAGAGAGAGGAGGGCGTTCTTCGGGGGGCAGCCATGGGGAAACAGGGAGGTTTAATTACAGCTGCAGCGACAGCTACGCCCGGCAGGCACACAGAGGAGGAGAGCACTGGGTGTGTGAGCATGCAACTGCATGCGCATCATTAGCTGTGTTGCTGTTGACTGCGGCAGTCAGCATAATGTCGGTGTTTATGGAGCCGTTTATTTTCCAGGAGCTACTGCTGGTGAGAGTGACACCGAATGGTCATACATCACGCATAATTATAATACTGGTCATTTTATTTATATATTTCCAATGATTTTTATTCAAAATTTGACAGCTGAACAGATTTTCACATGCAATTTCAAGGTTGTGTTTAATTACTTGCAGAATGCTCCTAAACTCACAGTTCTTTTGCCTTGAGTTAAGTTACTACCTTTAAAGCAGCATTTCAAAGATAACGATTATGGAAAATCGATTTAGGGAAAAGAATACAGTGTGAAAGAACAACACAAGGCAGGAAAATCCAGATGAAATTGGTAATGCAATTTATTAAGAGATATATATGTGATTATGTGGTAAAAATACAGATTTAATGAGTAATTAACTGTATTTTAATTACTCCTTTATCTATCTTCTGTACCCACTTGTCTTAATCAGGATCATGAATGCGTGGAGCCTATGGGCACAAGGCAGGAAATAACTCAAGATGAGGTGCCAATTATCCATAGCAGGTCACACTCACACACCATTCATTCATTCACTCTTAATTTGATAACTAACTCAAATTCACCTAAGCATGTTTTTATTCTGGGGGGGGGGAACCAGGTTCTCAGGAGGAAACTCCAAGATGACATGGAAGAACATGCAAACTCCACACACATTGAGTCAAAATGGAGACTCAAACCCCGGTCTTAGAAGTGTGAGGCAACAGTGCAATCCACTGCACCACCTGTCCTCTCCTTTACAGTATCACATTTCCCTGTGCTGTCCAGTCCGGTGTGCATTCCACCATGACCCTGTGTCTTTGCCGAACAGGTTCTGTTCACTTCAACTGTAAGTGGACTAGCATATTGTGAGACTTGTTCCAACTTAGAAGACATGCGAGGAAGAAACTGGGATTTTTCAGAGTATAGATTGAAATGATCGTTGCCGTCTAGGTCTGGACGTGCGTTCTGGGACAAAAGAGGAAAGAGAACCCGGTCTTAAATGATGGGTAATAAGGCACAAGTGAAGAGAATTCATGGACCAGCATCAGCATCACCACCACCCCAGATATTTTAATGAATGACTGTTTGTTTATAATACACTTGCCAGTTGACGGACATGTCACCGTGTTAATGGCTGTGAAGCAGAGATTGTTATACACAGGACACGAAACAAGCAACGTGGTCCTTTCTTGACCCCAGCAACAGGTGTCTATTATGGCTTGACGAAGGCTCATTACATCAGGCTGACATGCTATCACGACACAGATCACAGGTGTGGCCAATCAGGGGGGGGGGGCATCTAAAGTCACATGTCACCCCAGCCCCTCCAGCAAGCTCACAGCGCAGGCCACTCTGCCCTTTCTTGCAAAGCGACTGTAATTACTTCAGGGATGTCAGACGAAGGCACAGCTAATAAAGGCTGATGAGGGAGTATTGAATTTGCACTTCAATTACAGTGCTTATAGAGTGTGGATTACAGGCAAGCCCCTGGAGTCGCTGCGCGCCTGGTTACACGGTTCTGCAGGAGGGTGGACGCGTCGCGGGCAGCAGACGCTGGCGCTACGCTAATGACGAGTGCAGTAAGTAAAGTTCCCCGCGCCTGGTGTGCAAGAACCTCATTGATCAATGTCAATTTATCATATACATGTCAAATAAGTCCTGTATGTGTCCACATGGTATGGGCAAGGTGATGGTATATTAATTCTGTTGCAGTTTCCCAAAAATAACCCCTACAAAAAAATGCAACTGGGAGATGGAAAAACAAGGAAAACCCAGGAACACCTAGGGAGCAACTTGAAGATCACGTCCCGAAAAAATGATAAACGGAGAGTGGATTATTGTGCAAAAATTGCTAATCAGTTTAACAGTTTACTTGCTCATCACATAGCTCCCTAATGCGATGCAGAAAGCATTCATCTAGGCCAACCGGCATCACGAATGGCTCTAACAACCCTCACATAAAAATCTTGTTTTTTTTCTTTAAACATTACATTCTTCTTCATCATAGTTTTTTTGTCCTTGAGGTGATTGGGGGGAAAAAATCTACTCTTTCTATGACAAGGGCATTGGAGCCCCACATTACAAATACCTGCTAGCTTCAAATAAATACAAAGGCCTGAAATGGGTTCAGGATTTTTTCCTGTAAGCATTACAGGTGACAGGTCATACAAAATGGGCAATAGACCAGGAAAACATCTCATTTCTGTGAGTGATATACATTAAAAAGGAATGATGCATTTTGAAAAGGCAAAGACAGTTACTGAAATATTGCTGCAATTAGAAACCAGTGAAGAAAACCGTGGAACTCTGGCTTATTACAGCTGTTGCAATGTTGATTAATCTATTTATTTTCCATTCTTGTCCTGTCTGTGCAATTCCCTTCAAGTTAAAGAATCCCTGAAAAATCTGAACATGAAGAAAACAACGACAATGAGCCTCGGTCCCCGGGTGAGTGTAGCGGTGGATTATGGGAAAATAAGCAAATAACTGTCCGTTTAAAGTGGATTTGTCTGTTAGGCAGCGATAAACGGTAGCTGGCTTTCTTCAGCTTAGTTTTCCATTTGAAAAGAGTGTTGAAGGACAGGCTTTATGAAAATAAAACGGGGCGATGGCAAAACTAATTTTATTTATTTAATTTTTTTGGACTGTGCTTAAAAGGACAATGCAATATGATATGCATAATTAATCATTATGGGTCCTTGCCTTGCCCTTCTTGTTACTTAATTATTGATAATATTTTTCGTCCTACAGTAAATATTCCTAAATAACCCATAAATAGGCAGGCTTTTTGAAAAAAAACACTGATTATGGAGTGATGGCATATTTGGAGTCAATTTACTAACAGATCAAAATGAGAACAAACAGCTAGAATATGCCTGTTTAAATACTTTTTTTTATTTTTTAGTGATTTGAACCAAACAATTTTTTTTCCATTATGTGTTGTTCCATCTTCCATCTTTTTTCTAATACTGGGATGATTTTTTTTTGAACCCACAACCTTGGCATCATTAGCACCACACTAACCAACTTAACTAACCACCCACTGACGATGACAACCAGGCTAAACATTACTATATTAAACTAGTCTACTACCGAGACATGCAAAATAAAATGAGGCTCTTGCTAAGGGTCCCTGAGTGTTTAAACATGCCTTCACAGTAGGCTTAGTGTTATTCTCCGTGCTGTGATACCACAAAATGAGCAATGATTCATCAAAGATCGTTCCTCATCCAATCTAAACTGGGAACAGCATCTGATAAATGTTTGACGACATGTCATGAAGCTTTTCCAACGTCAGAACAACGCACCATCTTACCCCGAGTACAAATCCCTTAAACCTCGAGAACGAAAAAAGACGCTCTCGAACACACCGACTCTGCACTCGCTCGATCGCTTCCGGCTTGCTGATTCAGGCCGGCATCGCCGCACCGGTCCTGGTGCCACGAGCCGAATTAAGCACTGAAGACCTCTGAGGGCGGAAGCGGGCTGGAGCCTTAGGTATCTGCTTCT